CACACACACACACACACACACACACACACACACACACGTGATCTCTCACGGGTGGCAGACTCCTGGCCGGTGAAGGAGCCCATTTCCTCTTCAGGGGAGTCCAAACCTGAGCTCACCAGGAAGGGAGGAGCGGAAGGTGAGAGAACACAGAAGAGGCCAAGTGGGCCGAACATCACTGATCACGGATCGGGTGGAAGGACAGAGAGTAAGAGTGACAGGCGCGGGCACGCACACACACACCGCACACACAGCATGGGGCGATGGGGGAGGGCATTCTGCGGCCGGGGCAGCGGTTAGGTCAATGGTGCAGATGTCCAAGCGGCAATGATAAAAAGGCTGGTACCTGCTCGTTGGGACGGGGCAGGAGCAGGGCTTAGAGTGATCACAATAACTGGATGGGGAAAAGGAAGAAAAAAAACAACACCACGATAAATCACAACAGAAACAACTGATTTGTCCAAAAGAAAAGAAATCAAATCATAACAAGGAAAAGGGGGAGGCGCGAGGCACCAAAGTGCAGAGACGGGTAGAAACCACAGAGATGGGAGGACCAGGAGGATGGGATGGAGCTGACACAGACACAGACGCCTGGAGGGGGCTCCTCGGGGGCCTGCCCACCACGGGCCTCACCGTACCTCACTCTGCACCCGGGACAGCCACCCCGTAAGGCACCGCAGGCCCCATGCCCAGCCCTGTCTCATCCAAGCTGGGGCTGCGGGAGGCAGCATCGCAGAGCCCAGCAGGGACCCTCCGGTGTCGGGAGGGTATCTGCCCCAGGGAGGAGCCCACACTACCCCAGGTCAGAAGAGGAAGGGAGGAGTGGACTGCACACAGGGATGGTGGGGGCACTCAGGCTGTGAAGGTCAGGCTGGGTGAGCAGGGAGAGACTGGAATACCCCGATGTGGGCGCATGTCCCCCTCCTATCAGGATGACCCCACAGGGAGCTGCATAAGCTACATGGATCGCGGAAGAATCACAAAGGAGGGCCAGGTGTTAGCTCAAGAGAGCGGGGTGCTCCTCATCAGGTCTGGGGGGGAGGGTGAAGGCCTCATGCCCTCCAGCTGAGAGATTTGGGGAAGGGGTTCTGTGGGAACAAAACAAAGAGACTAAACAGTGGTAGTGTCATGGCAATCCCTGGCCAGGTGTTGAGTGCCGGGGAGGGGGGCAGCTTTTGACTCCAAACAATAAGATGCCAGGCAGGTAGTCACAGAGACGGTGGGATCAGAGGTGAGGTGTACATGGGCTGGGATAGCACCACACTGGCCTCAGGTATCCCTAGGCCAGGTGAATGTGGGTGTGCAGGAAGTCACTTGAGTCCAGGTGACGACGTTGCCAGGCTGGAGGCTGGGTGTGTATTTTCGGAAAGGCCAGACAGTCGCCAAGATGAAGTAGGAGGGGGCCTAGTGTATGTGGGTAGGGTGTGTGTGGGAGGGGGTCTGCGAGGCCGAAGGACAAGGTCCCAGCCTAGTAAAAAGGGATCACCAGACACAGTCACAGAAAAGGAGATCAGAGAAATAGGGGGTTATATGTGGTCAAATAATCTCAGGTGTCAGCCGGGCCAAGTGTGCGTGTATGAATGCGAGTGGACCATCCACTGAACCATATGACAAGGACCCAGGTGCAGAGGTTGGGAGAAGAGGCCCCCTGCCAGTCACTGAGATGGCAGGAGTGAAATCATCTGGTCGGAAGGGACGTGTACATGTTTGCGGGGGATCTGGATGTGGTCACAGTCGCTCGGATTAAGGGGAGCCCGGCTCCTAGAGTAGGTGACGGTGACACGGGCTCCGAGGATCACGGTGAGGGGGCGGGTCATCAGATGGGGAGGCCTTGCCCTAGGGCCGGGTGACTAGGCTCATAGGCCCCGTAAGGGGGATCCCCCTAGGCTGGGGGAGGGCCGCCCGGGAGCCCGCCGGCCCCACGCCCCCCTGGGTCACCGTGACCCTCTCCCCGCGAGCCGACAGCAGGGGGTATAGGGTGGAGAGAAGGAGGAGCAAGAGCGCCCCGGAAGCGAGGGCGGGGCCTGACGGCGGGGGCGGGGCTTCCCGCGGCGCGCGCCCCGCCCGCCCGCCCCCTCCCCCACGCCGCCGTGCTTACTGGGCCTGGGCCGCTGGGGGCTGATATCCAGGTTGAGGTCGATCCTCCGCCGGGCCTCGCGGTTCTCCTGCTTCAGCTTTGCTTCCAGGCGGGACAGCTTCTGCTCCAGGGAGGACGCCGCCATCTTCCCCGCCGCCGCCGCGCACCGCCCGGCCGCCCGTCAGTCCGGCAGACAAACACCGCACTGCGCCTGCGCTTGGATGACCCCGCCGAGCCGCCGTCTCTCCCTGCACGGCGCATGTCCGCGGCGCGCACTCGCCCATCCCTCGTGCTAACCTCCGCGCATGCGTGCTTCTTCCCGGCCGGAGAGATGACGCCACCTAGAGTTCGCGTCGGGCAACGTGCAAAGCCGCTCATCGTGATGCGCATGCGCGGAGTCGGAGCCCTTTCTCGAGAGGCGCTGTGTTGAAATCCATTCACGGTTCTGCAGACCGCGGCAGGCGGGGAAAGCGGCGCGCCTGCGTGCAGAGGAGTAGACGCAATCCCGCGCTTTGCCTTTGCTGCGCATGCGCAACCTTGGCTCTTTCCGCGGCCGCTGTTGCTGGGAGTAGCTCTTGCTATGTGTCCTCAGCCTCGTTTTCGCTGTTCCCCGCCCGGCCTGTTCTCTGGCACCCACGCTCCCTCAGGACTGCCTTTCTCTTACGGGACAGTGTTTCATTAGGATCGCTGTTATGCCTAATTGCTGCCTCCTCCCCATAATTAGGCACCCATGGGGAGCCCTTTCTATTTCAACAAACTCGGGGGTGGCTAAGGACCGGCGGGAGGGACGGGGTAGGGCTCAGGTCACTGTAGCGGCCTTAGGAGTCCAGCGGCATGACCCCTGACCTCGACCACAGGGCCAGGGTCATGGCCAGAGAGTTCCAGGCCAGACCCACCTGGGACATTTTAAGACGTTCCCTCATCTTCCCGCCCCGGAATGTGAGCCCAGCGTCTGGACAGTGCAGTAGATGGGCTTTGGTGTTAATGCCCCTCAGCCTGTCATCCTCGCAGCTTAACTGGCATGGTGGGTGCCGGGAAAATGTCCCCATCTGCAGTCCTGGTTTTCGGAAAGCAGCTTGTCTCTGCTCTCAGTTGCCAGGAAGAGGCTCACATTTTGCAGACATCTCGAGGTGTCCAGTCCCAGGAAGTCAGGGTCAGGCAGGCTGTGCCATACGCCCTGCCTACTCCCGGGCCCGCACGGGATCACTGGTGGGCATTGAAGGCTTGTGGGGACTCCTATGGTGACAACTTACGGGTGGAACAGATAAAAGACTGGAGTCCAGAGAATAACAAGGAATGGAGAGGAAAAGGGGTTCTCCAGAAAAAAAGCTGAGCAGAAGACGCCACCTGATTTCTCCTGCTGAGGTCTGTCTTTGCTCCCAGGACGGATCTCATACCCTTCATTCGGGCACGTTAGTGTCACTGCTTGCCTGTCATTGGTCTGGATGAAATGGAAGGCTTAGACAACAGGAGTGGATACCAGAGATCAGAATTTTAGTTCTCCTAGTATTATTTATTAGCCACCCACTGATAGATGCTCCCTCACACAGAGAACATTTGAAAGACACAAAGTCCCTGCCTGTTCTCAGAAACATGTAAATTCCACAGCAGGTGTTCTTAACCCTGGAGTCTGCTATCCTTAGGATGTCCGTGAATGGCCCTCTGGGAAATCTGGGGGAATCTGTTGACGGCCTGAAGTAGCTTTGGAATTTTGCATGTGTGTGTACATTTTCCTGGGCAAGGAGGTGCCCAAATTTTATAAGATGTTCAAAAGTCCTAGGTCTTCAAAAGGGTTCAGAACCCCGGCTCTGAACATCCAGATTCTGTAGGTCAGCGTTTCCCAACATACAGGCCTAGGACCACCCGCATCAGAATTACCCGGGATGCTGATTTACAGACAAGTTCCTGGCCTCCAGCCAGACCTGAGTCAGTCTTTCAGGGGTGGGGCCTGGGATGTTTTGTTCTGGGGCTGTTGATTTTGATGCAAGGCCAAACATGAGGACCATTTTACTGAGTTCACGTGTCCATAGCAAACAACTTATAAATAAGGGATTGGCATCAAAGTTGGGGGCAGGGGTCGCTGGTCCCTTGTGTCTGTGTCCCCTCCTTGGGAGAGAACCGCAGATGTAAGCTGTTTGGGTTGGGGGAGAAAGGGTTGAAATCCCATTGGGATGTGCCTCACCCCCACATACGGCACTAATTGAGCTAGAATGTCCGGGGGGAGGGCAGGACAGCCAGCCAAAGACACAGGTGTGCTTTTGGTCTGAGACTCCTGTGACTGAGTTGATCCCTCTACGACGGTCCACCCCAAATCCACAGCCTCCTGTCTCTTCTTGGACAAACCAATCCCGGGATCTTGTCTGGACCCTC